ATATATTTTTCCTTCTTTTATGCCAGTTTTCTTTTATAACTTGCCCAGAAAACTAGATAAAATTGCTAATAGGCTTTCCTTAGACCTATCCTTCTTGAAATGAGGGTCATATTTGAGGAGAAAAATTCTCAACTGGAAAAATCCATCCCATGGGGAGAGAGAGTTTTGAAACAGTTAAGAGCAAGGGCAAGCCGGCAGTGGCTTAGAAGCACAATCTTCTCTTCAATTTGGGCCAGAAGTGTAGTGATGGTTATAGTTTCTTTTATTTCTTAGAGACAAACTCCATGGAACAACATGTTTACAATCATGGGAGCCAGTCTCTTCCCAGGGGCAGAGCCTGGGTCTGAACACTGCTATAGTCCCGTGGGAGTTGCTCTTGAGAAAGGAATCTTGTGTCTGTGTGAGGGTCACTTTAGAACTCATCTCCCCTGTCCCAGCCTCCACTAAATGTACACCCAGGTCCCCAGCTGATGCTCTGTTCAGATGGCTCAGATTGATACGGGGAAAACACCAGACACCTGAGCTGTCCTGCTGCCCTAGGGATTGCCCTTCAAAGAATTTGCTATAGATTCTCCCTTTGCGGCTTGGAGAGGAACGAAAGTCTATTTTGCTCCTGTCCTTATCTCTTGCTTATTGAAACTGTTCCATAGTACTGGTTGTTCATCTGGAGTCTTTCTCATCATCAGTAAGTTATATATTAGTATTTGAGGTGGAATGCTGACTCATGCTGTGGTCTCCAACACCTTCTTATCTCTGAAGCCAAACAGTCCACAGGGCAAGTTTGACAAACCCCTGCAAGGGCTTTTAGCTGATTAAGGCACCCAGTGTGGTCTCCCTTCTTAAGGGGTCTTTGGTAACTCCTGAGAAAAATTTAAGGATTGTAGCTGAGGAAACCGAAAGGTTGGGTGTGGTATGGAGACTGTTTTAAAGGATGAGATCTATCTGCCTTTCTGCAGGATGTGCTCCAGGTTTGCCCCAGGGCTGCTCAGGGACTGTTCAACCTTCAAGGGCAGTCCTTCCATTTTATCACTCTGCCAGCATTTGAGTGTCTGCATGTGTCCTTGTGGTGGGCTACAGGAGATCCAGGAAATAGGGGCTCCAGATGGTACTGGGTACTCCTGAGCAGGTAGAGAGGGAGCTTGCATTCTGGTCACTTCATTAACCAGCTGTGTAACTGGGCACACAGTTCCCTTCCTTGAACCTTAGTTTGCCCATCTGCAAAGTGGCGAAGTAGAGTTGGCTCATCTCTAAAGTCTTTTTCCATTTGAAGTCTCTGACTCTGTGGTTACTTCCTCTTCTTCATCAACAATCAACCTTTAATAGAATTCTGTTCACTTGAAAATTTTGATGCTGGCATAAACTTTGAGTTCTGGCAGGTTGGAATATATCAGACTGCACTGGCTGGAAAGAGGAGAAACTATAAATTTAAGCAGTCAACTGATGTTCAGATTTAGGACCACTGTGTGTTTAACCAGCACCTTGATAAGGATTAGAGGGCCGGGGATTTAGCTCAGTGGTTCCACCGCCTGCCCTGCAAGCACAAGGACCCAAGTTTGATCCCCAGTACAAAAAAATAAAGAGTAAATGATTAGAAAAAAGTGTCCCCTCCAGGTAGGCTCAGCTGCAAAAGTGGGGTGGGTCCATGGCCTAGCAGGTGGAATCCTGGTGCTTTCAGCCCCATGAACTCCAGGAGTCCTTGTGCAATGAGCTACCAGCATACATATGTATTAGTGCAGCAGTGGCTTCTTTGGGCTCTGACCACTCTAGCTAAGAGTAGAAAAGGATAAGACCAGAATAGATGCATATCACTGACATGATGGAAGGGAACTTTTTTATCATTACTGCCTTAAATATTTCAAGCAACTGAAAAGCTGCAAGTCTGGGCCTCTGACGCTGTCCACATCCTACACTGAAACAGCCCATCTGATTTGGGTAGCTTCAGGAGGTAAGATTAGTAATAATAATAATAAAACCCCTTACATTTTTATAGAGCCTCACAATTTATGTAGCACATTAAGTACACTTTCTTTTTCACTTGGGTTCTAATTCTAACCATTGCCCTGGTGAGTAATAATTATACTCATTTTAAATACAAGGGAAATGAAACTGACAGATTCAAAGACTTGTTCAAGGGCAGCTAATAAGTGGTCAAATCAGGAATTGAATCCACATCTGTCTAGCTCCAAATTCAAGGTTTTTAATTTTTGTTTCCGTTCAAGAGCACAAGACCCTAATCAGGATTTTGGCAGCCAGACCAAAAGAACTCTGTAAGGGTTTGGAATTAGTCTGAGTAGACCATCCTCCCTGTTTCGGCAACAGGTGTGGTAACTATAAAGATTTGAGTATAATTTCTAGAGAGGTCTTGGGAGATCTGAGCTAAATACTCACTTTTCAGTTGATTCCTGGAGATTCACTCATTTCATTAAACACATCTGTACTAAATGTATGCCATTAACCCAGAATTCTCTCAGGGAATGACCCTGCCAGGCATCTCAGGAAAGCCTTGAGGCTGGAGAGAGTCACCCCTCCATATGATATGAAAATAATGTCTACAGGTGTCACTACTGAGAGTCAAGGCTCTTCAGGGTCCATGTGGCCTCGCTGACAGCACCATCACAGGCCTCTTTAGTTGTCTTCAAGACTGCTTTTCTGCACAGCAGTTACACTGGAGTAGCCCTGACCTCTGCCTGGGCTCCAGACCTGTATTCCCAAGTGCCCACCTTCCACCTCCCCGTGACACCTCTGAGGGCATATCCAACTTAAATACGACTACAGCTCTAACTGCTGCCTTCTCCCACCATCTGTCCCCAGACAGCTTCCTCTGGCTTTTATAATTTCCATGAATGGCCCCTTACAGCACCCTCTGTCTCACTCATTCCTCCCTGCATACCCTTAGTCACTAGATACTTTTGGTTCTACTTCCTAAACACCACTAAAATCCATTCCTTTTCATCAGTTTCTATTTCCATTGTCTTCAGGGAGGTCCTCATTATCTACTTCTCATCTTCCAAGCTAGCCTGCATCTGGCCATTAATTCTTTGTCTAAACACAAACCTGACTGTACCCTTTCCCCACTTAATAAACAATAAAAATGACCCAGTGTGGTGGTGTATGCCTGTAATTCTAGCACTCGGGAAGCTGAGGCAGGATTGTGAGTTTGAGCCCAGTCTGGGATATATAGCAAGTTCAAGGGTAGCCTAGACTACATACAGGAATGCTGTCTCAAAACAAACAAACAAACAAACCACAAAATAAAAAGACCAAAAAATGGCTTCCTACTGCTATAGGAGAGAGTGCACCTTTGATGTACAGTACCATAATCCCCATTAAATGCTGTTCCTCCGACCTGCCATTTTTCCTTTGGCCAAAATACCATCTCCCTGGGAACTTCTAATTAGTGTTAAGACCCCTGCTTAAGCATCACTTCTGAGGTGTTGGCTTCCCAGGTGACTCCTGGGGGATGAATTCCTGCTCCCTCCTCGATATGGTCTCACTGCTATTCTGAACTGCAGTTTGTTTCTGTAGCTGTCTATCTGCCAGACTCGGGCTCCTTAAAAGTGGAAACTCTAAGTACTATCTTCTCACTTCAAGGCTCTGGCATGCTGCCCAACACACAGTAGGTACAGTAATGTTGAATGAATGGATGGGGTGGATGTACTCTCTCTTTGATAAAATCAACAGTGTAGCCTGTTGAGTGTCCCTTGTCCTCTTGGGCTTAGTCTGGAAGTAACAGGGCAGAAGTCATCCTTTCATACTATAGGCTGAATATTGACAGTGTATGAAGGCCAGAGAAACATTTGTTTTGCAGTTCATCTCTTTCCTAAAACTGTATCTGGGTGGAGATGGGGAGGTGGAATTTCAGACAAAAGGAAGGACTTGATCTGGTTTCCCTGTGTAGCTGTCTCGGCAGCTCAGCACTGGGCAAAGGACAGTCCCATCTGACTAAGTGGTCAATGAAATAGCTTAAAGGCCGGTAAGACCCTTGTGGAATCCTTCAGGTAGAACTTGCAGGCCATTTGTAAAAGGGTTCGACACAAGATGCATCGATGCTGTCTTTAAGTCTTGCTCTGTGCAACTCAAGGTTCTCCCATTAAGCAACTGGTCCTCCAAATGAGGGGTCCTGAAAACTAGCCTCAGGTTCTCATGAGCTGTACCTTAGTGAATGAAGTACAGGTACCCTGGAGGGCAGGGGATTCCAAGAAGGGCAAGTGCCCCTTTCCTCTCCCTCCTCATTCAGCAGAATCCAGGGAGCAGTGGGCAGTCAGGCAGCACCTGGCCCCTGGGGCTGTGTGTTAAATTAGGCCAAGTTCTAGCCTCTGTTTTAGCTTCCCTTTCTGTTAGGCAGGGCTGGTATTCACCCCAGCTAACATCTATCCTTAGCTCTGTCATTATACAAAGTATTCCACAGGGCTCTTCAAAGTCCAGGGGAACAGGTCCTGTGTGTCCCCATTCTGCCCTCACGGGTGGGAGCGGGTCAGACAGTGGGGCCCTGTAGAGAGTCAGCAAGGTTGGGAGGCAATCTGTGTCACAGCAAGTCATAAGAGCAGACAGGTCTCCCTCTACCCCTGGCTCCAGGGCACAGTTTCGTTTCTTAGCCTCATTGAATCTCTGGCATCACCTAGAATGATTAAGGAAACACCTCAGCCCTGGACACAGGCTTTGGCTTTCTCAAGACAGAAGGTCCATCTGTCCCTCTCAAGCCGCTCCTACAGGCAGCCGTGGTCAAGTGGAGCAGGAGAACTCCACCCCAACTCCAGAGGAGCCCATGTGGCCTCAGCCCAGAAGCAGGGGGACACCGCTGAGATCCCCCGCAAAGGAGGGACGCAAAGCACAGCTGAAGGCTGTTTAGAAGTAACCTTCCCTCTCGCCTCTCTAGGGCGGGTCTCAGCCTTCTAAAACAGAAAGAAGTGAGTGAGTGGGAAGTCCCCTCCCGAACGGAGGGCAGCTTAAAATGTCTTTTGAAAAAATAAAACAGCAACAACAGAAATCTTGAAACTCACCTTTGGGTCCTGGGACGGCTTCCTGCCGGCGTGGTGGCCCGGGATCCGCGGGTGCCGCCTCGGGTGACCCTGACCCTGCTCGGGTGGGCTGGGCTCCTCGCTGGGGCCCCTCCCTGCCTCCCTCCCGCGGCGCCCGAGGTCCCGGGGTCGCGCCGCGCGGTACCTGCCGCTCCCGGGGGCCGGCGCCGCACCTAAGGCTCCCTGCAGGCCCCTGCCCTCCTGTCACAGCCTGGACTCTGAAGCGGACTCGCCGACTCTCCCCGTCGCTGGCTCGGCCCAAGCTTTCTACCCCCACCCGCGGGTCACCGGTGCCCCCAGACGCGCCCTCCCTCGCGGTCTTCCCGCCAGCCCCACCCGCCCGCCGTGACGCGCTCCTGCCCCAGGTCTCAGCCCGGAGCGCGCCTCCTGCAGGACAGCCGCCTCCTCCCCGAGGAGCCAGCCGGGGGCCTGCACAGCCGGGCCTGCACAGCCGCGCCTGCGTTCCGGGACGGGGCGCGCAACTTGGGGCACACCCGGTGAGCAGCCTTCGCGGAAATGGGGTGGGAGGCGTTGCGTTGGAGAGGGAGACCAGGCGCAGGGTGGATGAGGGCTCCAGAGCCCAGGCTGGCCAAAGAACCAGACAGGCCCCAATGCCTCAAGTGCCGGAAGGGGCGCTTGCAACACCCGCGGAAAGTTATTGCCCTTCACTGAAGGTGTTAAGGAAAACTGCAGAAGCAGAGATGGAGGAGAAAGCTAAATTCAGCTGCTTCTCCCCTCTCCTACCGAGTTGTTCTCCCATTTACTTTTTATTCAGATCTCTTGAGGCTAATTCCCAGCCACTGGAACGCTGGCGAATGAAAAGGTATGTGCTGTTGCTAGATGCAGGACTCTAGACACAGATCTGATGGTCCAGGGCAGGGTACCCATGCTTCCTATGGGTGAAGAAGACAGTGATTCCAGGACCTGGCTGTGGAGCATCCCGGGCCTTCCCAGAGTCCTCTTGGGAGGTCCTTCCACGACATGGATGTGAGAGTCTGCTCCCTTGGCTACAACTGTTAGGTGCTCAGGTACCAGATGAACAAGTACCAGGTCTTGAGCTGAGACCCAGTCTCTCCTGACTGCCTGGGCAGTGATGTCCTTTGGGCCCTTTGTGTGGGCATTCAAATGGCTAGAGCAACCAACTGTTACAGACCAGCAACAAGAGGACCCTTCCTGTTCATACAGGAAAAGCCACATGGTTCTGAATTGAAAGGCTAAAGAGAAAACTCACCACTACATGCCAAGAATAGTTATCAAAAGAGAGAGAGAAAGAGAGAGAGAGAGAGAGCAAAAAAACAAAAAACAACCCCAAACTGGTATTCTTTCACAGAGTGATTAGATGAAATCTTCCCAGAAATCTAGGCTGAAAGAACTCAATCTAGATTTGGATTAGAAGAGGAAGAGAGTCCCCGGAAATAGGCAGGCTAGCCAGTAATCAGGTGGGCCCACAGGAATCTCAGGCCCTACATGTGGGTTCAAGCAATGGCTTGTGAGTGCCAGACTGAGGGGCTTTCCTCAGGTGTGTGGCCATGTAGATAAGACTCAGTCTGCAAAGACACCTTGACCTACAAACACCTATCTATATAGAGTTGGTTCCTCTAGCACTCCAGGCACCTGAGTCCAGGGTCTAGAGTCTGCCAGAGCATTGAGGAAGACAGGCCTGGAGGTGGGGATGACCAGAAGGGTTTGGACGCTGACCTGAGGGTAAGGAAATGGCGACCTCCTTCCTTCTGGAGCTTTACACACTACATAACATTCAGTCTTACACATTTATGAGATGTAATGTTTTCCTCCTTTTCCTGAGGTACAGAGGAAAGTAGCTTCCTCAAGGCTACAGCTATGAAATAGTGGAGCCCAAATTTGAATTAAGTGTTTCCAACCTTCCAACCCATCCTTTAACCACCATATTATCCCAAAGAGGAGAAAATGGCTTATGTGAAGGAATTTCGCATGAGAGCAGGGTGAAATACAGTCCCAAAACGATGCTCACTGAGTGAAGGCTATAGAAAACACTTTCCTGGGCAATATTACAGGTTGCTTTTAAGTGAAAACAGGGAGAAACTGAGACAATTAACTTGAGTTTAGAGCTTCACAGGTGTGGCTGTCAGAAAGAAATCCAGAGGCCTGTCCGTAAGGTGGAACCTCTGTGCTATCTCAGTTCATGAAGAGAAAAGTCTAGTGCCGAAAGCCAGTAGCTTCTGTGGCAGACAAATCAGGGGCACATAGGTGGGGAAGATGGTGGGTTCGCTAGCACTGGATCGCCAAGGCTGCAGTTTTTTTTTTAAGGCAGTTACATTACCAGGAAGATCCACTATGGTAGAAGGAAAGGAGTGGGCATTTGGCCAGAATGTTCTCATTCTGGGTGAATGGTGCATCCCTTATGAAAAAGCAGGGTTGAGCACCCACCTGCTATTTTTATTCTGTTGGCGGTGAAATCCCAACTCCTATGAACACATGCATGGCCCGAGGCAACACAGTGCTGTTACACTGTGCCTAATTCATTATTTTTCTTGTTTTCAGTAAGGATATTTGAAGATGGTCAAGAGGTTAGTGGGCTCTAAATGGAGTGAAACAGAGCATTAGCAACTAACTAAGAAAAGAAAATTCCAAAATAGCAGCTTTGTGAGCTGAGGCTGGAAATTTAAGCTCACTTTTTGGGTGATCACCCCCCACTAACTTTAACACTTGATGACCTCTGGTTTCACATCAGTGTTTCAGGCAAATGGTGTTGCCATCCTCTCCGATATGAAAATCAGTGGGGTATTGGGTACTGAACTTGAGCTGCTTTGAAGACTAAGACTGACTACACTTGCTTTGCTTTCTTGGTGATGCCCTGCTTTAGATAGTGGATGGCAGCTTTGGCCAGCATGGATCCACCTATGCAGATCCACTGGTGGAGACAGTTCCCATCAGTTTACAAAGTCTGAGTTTGATATAAGGGGCTGCATACAGGACAGCACTGCACAAGAATAAGCATCTGTGCCAGGTATGGCAAATATTCCACTGAGGACATAGTCTTACTCTCATCTAAAACTGTGAAGTATTCTTGCCCGCAGCATGGTATAAGGGCTAAAGCAGGGATAGAGAAAGCCCCTGAGAAGCAACCGGGATGAGACGATGACAAATCAGAAGGGCTGCTGGCAAGGGGAAGGCTGTTAGCAGGAGATGATGAGACTATAAATGGTGTGGATAAGATGCGTATAGACTTGTTCGCCAGTTCCTGAAATATATCACTGTCTGAGAACTGTGAGGCAAGTCCAGGACAAGTCAGTGGAAACACTATTTCATGCAGCAGGTAATGAACTGATGGAATGAATTCTCTCCCAGAGGTGGCACAACTGGCAATGGAAATGGACTCCAGAGGGCTTGAATGAATGTGTAAATGGCAGGACCGTAACAAAGAGCTGCAGGAAACGAGGAATATTCCATATGGTTAGGGGTCTAGGGTGACTCCAGGGATCCTTACATAGTGTGTACCTCAAGGTTTGTGTGGATGACAGAATCCTGGCCTTCCTGGCTGGAAGAGGTCTTCTGACTAAGAAATGGTAGAAATGAGACTGGGCCACATGTTGCCAACACACACACTCCTGCACAGGCAAAGCTTTACAGGGTGAAGGGGCTTCAGCCAAATAGGGGCTTTGGTTGAGGAAGACAGCCATTAGTCTACAGAGTGATCAAGCTGCTGCTCCCAGAACAAATAGAGCAGCAGGTTTTTATTGATTTTCTTCAGGATGAGGTAAGATCTAATCATTTTCATTAGCCGGGGGCTTGGTTTCAAAATATATTTCTTTTTGTGGCAGACTTGGGCCACCTGGCAGTCATGGTCAACTCAGATTTCCTTGTGTTTGGCACCATCAGCCTATGCAGACATCCAAGCCTTGTGTTTGGTGGGCTAACAGGTGGTCAGATTGGCTCAGGAACTACTGAGTTACCTCTTACAGGTGGTGGCATGATCCTGCGTAAATGTCTTGGTCTTACGATAGGGCTGAAGGGTTTTCAGTGCTTGAGCTGCTGACAAAGCCCAGAGATAAGGTGGAAGAAGCACTAACTCCAATGGGCAATAGGTCAAGTTAACCCTGTATCACAGTCTTGGACAAAACCTTTTTAAATGACCAAGTCTACGTGCAGAGCTGAGTAGACTCTGACTCAAGGGTTAATTAGCGAAGGGAACAGGCAATATGAAGAAAGAGATACCAGGCCTTTCTTCCCATTTTAGTCTCCCACCTGACATCTGTAAGCCCGTGTGAAGAGTCAGTGTTGTCAGAAGAAGTGGGCTCCACCGAGTATTTAGCTCAGTGGCACCACACCTGCCTGGCAAGCACAAGGTTCTGATTTTGATCCCCGGTAGCGACAATAACAAAAAAACCCTCAGAAGTGGGCTTCAGGTCTCTGGGACATAACCCAGGCAGCTGTTATCATAGCCAGAGAGCAAAGCTAGTGGGAAAATACTAATGTATTGCTCAGCCACGTGACCTTCAAAATTAGTGATTTTCGGTTGACTTAGGGTAAGTGAAGCTAGAGGGCTTAAGATCTTTTCTTAGTAATCATTTCTTACTCCATGCAAACATTCTGCTTTTGTGGCTTTATCAAGGTCTTATGATGGGTCTGCTGAAACATGCCATGCTAACAAAGGCTAATGAGAAAGGTAATAGTTTATTGTGCCCAGGAGTTTATTTTGACATCCTGGCCTTCAGTTCCACTGTGGTTGTTCCTAATTGTCTCACATGGAGTTTGGATTCCAGCTTATGGGCGATGCCAGCTAGATCTCCTTAATTCTACTACAGTCTCTGTGGCCTTTGCCTTCTGAAGGGAGCAAAACCCTGTTCTTTCTACCCAGGCCCATTTGAGCTGCATTACTTCTTCATCTTGGCTTTAGATTTTGAGCATGTACTGTGGCGGTTTAGGAGACTGCTTATACCTCTGGGACACTAAGGGGCTCAGTTTTCATTTTCTGTTTCTGGCTCACTCCTCCCCACCCCCATGGTGTCTTTAAGGCTCTTTTTACAGTGTATCTCTGTTGATTGTAAACTGGCCAGCAATACTATTCAGGGCCCTCTGTTGAGATTCAGCACTGGCTTTGTTCAAATGTAACCAGCGGGCCTCTGGATTCCATTTTTGTGGCAGTGGTCTCAGGGCGTAGAGCCTTACAGATTTCTCATTTCTCCTTTCTTTGTGGTTCCCCTTGTTCTCTGTGCTTCTCTTGGGGAGGGTTTACTTATCAATTTATTGAGTGAGCCCATTGTGAGTTTCCTATAGCATTTACACGACGTTGGTAACAGAGTCCAGCTGACAGAGTGACTCCTGGAGGCCCCAGCTTGCCCTGCCCAGCACATTCATTTGTGCAGAAGCTTTTGTGAAGGCTAAAATTGTTCATTCTTTTTGCCCCAAGGGCCCATAAGGTAACTGTGGCTTTGAAATGTGCTTCCTTAACTACTTCAGTGACTCATGATATCAATGTTGCCACAAGCCAACTTCCTGTCTCTAGGCTGGCTCT